ATAGCTATTTTATAAATATGTTTTTAAAAACAATTTTAGTGCTAAAACATTTTAACTTGGTTAGGTCATTAATTTTTAAACCATTTTCAAAGTTTGTTGAAATTCAAATTTATTTCTTGCTTATCATTGTTACATCAAATGTCGATTTGAATTAATTTTTTCCAAGAAATAATTTGTTATCATTAATAATCAGTTAATAATCAGTTAATAATCAGTATTGTGACCACGTGATGCAATCCCAATGGCCCATATCACCCAATACAAAATATTGTCATGACTGTCTGACATAATTAATGTATCTATGGTATGTGTACGTGATTATAATGATTATATTATTATAATCCTTTTTTACTATACTATTTTGAACTACTTTTCGACAGTTTGTCAAATATTGTTTTATGTATTATTATTATATTTGGATGTTTGTGCGGATCAACGGATGACAATACATCATTCTGTAATGGCATTGTATAGACATGCATTTCCGACATTCTGTATCTATACACGTCTCAATGCCTTAAAAAATTCATAGTATGCCAACCTATTTCAATAAGACTGTTTAATGATTATTGATCAGGTACACAAAATAATGTTAACTGTGACGTTAATAAAACAATGTCGACTATCGATTTTCAAAAAAAGTTTATCTTCAAAATGTAAGTATAGATAATTTAATGCCTATTTTTTGTCATGTTTTCTCGAGGGTTTTGTGCTACACATTTTTTAGTACAACTGACAGTCGTGCAGGACGCACAATAACTCTATATCATTACTTAATCTTTTTCTATATTATTATTTTATGTGTTAAGTGTTAAAGTAATCAAAAAATTGTATTTTAATCATAGGTAATATACAAAATGATTAAATTAGTTAAATATTTGAAGTACTGTGTCATACATTGTGGGCTATTGATTTGATCCATTCCTGTAATGATAGTAATGAAGATTGAAACATCCATTTATTATTGAACTATTTTAAATTTACTTGTTACTAAGTATTGGATTATCAGAAAACCACATAATATACATTCTGCTATAAATTGTAAGTATAACTGAATAAGCTTTTTATACATTTGATTATTATTAAGTTTTAATATCATTTCAGTACTTTGGTTATATTATACTGTACACACACAATTTATAAATACTTATGTATTCTATTAAATTAACTTCTGTGGTCCAATCTCCAATCATCAGATGTACAAAAAATACATATGCATTTACATATTTTATTTCATCAGTTAATTATTTTAGTGCAATTGAGTTTTCATAAAACTAACTTAAAATAATACTAACATCATCATTCAGTAATCAAAAATGTAAGATAATTTATTTAAATAACATTTTTCATTAACTATTAAATAATAATAATAGGTTTTAATTATTTTTCAGGATGTCAGTAATTATAATTTAAGAAATTATGAACCTATGTAACTATTCAAATTAAAAATCAATATGATGTGGCCTCATTGAAAACTTTTGTGTTCTGAAAGTATTGTAAAATTAAGTAGAGGTTATATTGATTCAATTATTATTATGTTATAGTTGTGGATCTGTAATTTTAATCTAAATAGTTGAAGGGATGAATGATGGTACTAAACTCAATTTATAATCAAGAATTAAATATTTTTAGTCATTTTTACTTTTTAATTTTTCTTTTAAGGTTTTCCTATTAATATTAATTATACTTTTAAATAAAGTACCTTTAATGTCACAAAATATTTCACTTAACAGTAAAAAAAATTAAAAAATTAATTGAATACGTGTTTTAAAGTAGTAACTATGCGTGGACTTTTTTACATTCTATCTTCCACACTTGAGAAAACCTCATTCATCCCTATTATA